GGACAGGTGACAGCGGGTGGTGACGACACAAAGGGCGGTCACTGGTCGGGCTGTCACCGGCACGTCAGTCACCTGACCGGTGCTCTATGGGGTCACGCAAACGGTCAGACTGAGCTAGAATGGCGTGCAGTTAAAAGGATCCTTATGCATTCCCATCACACTTAAGCACTAGCGCCATTGCCGCTTATTCATAATCCTCTCACAATGCCACGAGTGCTTCCCACTAAGTGTGAATCTCCGGAATTCCCCTTTTCCGACCAGCTGTGTGGCTCCCCTCCCCTCCCCTTCCTTCCCCTCCCCTCCCCTCCCCTGCCGACCCCGCTCCGGGCCGTGCCCCCGGTCACGTCCCGTAATAGCTCCCCACAAACAGGGGACAGGCGGGATCGGCCGCCGCCCTGAGCGGGGGGACTTTTGGCTGGCCCTGCCACGGGTCGGCGAGGGAGGGGAGGGTTGAACAGCGGGTGTCATGGCTGAAATGGTAGGGTAGAGCCAAGGTCAGGACTGGCGGTGTATGGTGGCGAAACTTTCGTTACCATGCCAAATTGAGATGTGTGACAGTTTTACCGCATAGGCGTAGGAACAGGGGGGCCGGGGGGGCCATGGCCCCCCCACTTTTCAGCGATTGTTTAAACTAAAATCTTTATTTTTGATTTAAATACAAAACTAAGAGCAGGAAATGGTTCAGCAAGGTGAGATGAACACAAAACTGCTAAGAATTTCTTCATAGGGGTATTGGGGCTCCCACAAAGTGACACTGAAGTTTCGCTGGCCCCCCCACTTTTCGTGAGGTTCCTACGCCCATGCCTTCCGCTGTTTGAAATATGCAATAAAGTATGACTTAAGCATGCTTCCTGTCCAGCACGAGGATCTGTTCTACCGCTTTATTCCTTTATATACCGGTTTGTCTTACGTCTCCCCTGTGCCGCGTCCCCTGTGAAGCCCGTCCCTGCTCCTGAGCCGCCGTCAGGCTCATCCAATCGCGCCCTGCCACTGAGCCCACCCCAGGCGCGCCAAATCGTTCTCTGCCCCTGTCCGAGTTTTGCCCCCATGGGCACGTCAAATCGCGCCTCCCCTGAACCGCCACCCCAGGCGCGCCGAATCGCGCTCTGCCCGTGAGCCGACCCTTGGCGCGCTGAGACCCCAGGCACCCCAAATCGTCCCGGCGCGGCGTGTGACCGGTGCTGAGGGGTGCAGAGGACAGTGGCCAGCGCCGGATGTCATTACTGGCGAGGCCGGCGGCCGCGGCGGCTGAGCTGCTGACGGTTTGAGGACGATTTGAGGACTGCGAGAGGTATGAGACCGGCGGTAGCATGGCGTGGGAGGCCATAGAGCGATCCGACGGAGCTAAAAAGGAGAGAGAACATGGCAAGGAGCTAAGGGAGCCAAAGAAAGAGCCGACGATGTAGTGTATGACGTGTCATTGACAAATGAGGAAGTTTGACTATAATATTAGGGTGACCGGTTTTGCAAAAAGTTTCGAAAAGTTTTGCTCCCCAGGTCTAATCTAACGTATTTGGGGGTGCTGATCACGAATCCGGCGGAAAAAATAAAAAAATCGATTTTTTTTTGACCGCCCCGGCTCTTTGAATATTTCCGGTTTTCTCAATTTTTGCATGTTTTTGAATAATATGATGAATGTAATGAAAAAATATTAACAATGTATCGCTAAATGCATGTACCAGTCGATTCGGCATACAGCGGCGTCGAAATCGGCACGCCGCCTGCTTCACCGGCCTCGCAGGAAAGCACAAGGCTCGGAAGGTTTGCGTTAGTTACCCGATTCTCTCCATAGATGGCGCTGGCGTAGCCGCCCGCCGGCCGGTCGTTGCCGTGCCGTTCACAGCCCCGGCGGTCACTTGCGAGTTGCGACCGTCGTGGTCGTTATGCTACGTCTATCAAAGCACGACAGAAATGCTCACTTCATTTTTATGTTACTTCAGACACATTTTAGACCTAATGTTGAATTGGATAAATGACTATCGTGCATTGGCGAAATAGTGGAGTGCGCTCGGGAGCCATTTACAATAGCGAGGAACGTAGGTGGATTGATCTGAGTAACACATGACACTGCGTTCACTGTTGATATGAAGTTTATTCACACTATGTAGTCGGGTGACATGAGAACAAAGTGACTAACATACCTTGTGTACGACACATGGATGAAGCTAATGCTACTTTTTTCATTTTGTTTCGGTAGGCCCGTTTGTTCAGAGCGTAGCCGTCCTGTCGGTCTGCGCCTGTTACAGCTGTGACTGATTCGGTGGTCAGCTTTACAGCCCTTTCGGTGGATTGGGTATGGCAGGGGACCCCCGTTTTGGAGTCTGTAGAAAGTTGCGCAACTCATCCTCGCTCATGTGTCGTACACAAGGGGGCTCGATGTCTCGGCCCTCGTCAACCGCTCGCTGCACGTTAACCAGTTCCATATAGTTGTTCGCTTGAACGTTAATTTCCGGCAGCCGGAAGTGCCGAATGGGCTGCTGCTGTGGCGGTGGGGGTGGCAGCTTTGGCGGCGGTCGTGGCGGCGGTGTCGGCGGCGGCGGCGGTGGTGGTGGTGGTGGTGGTGATGGCCGCCGCCGTTTCAGACGCCGCTGCTGCTGTTGTGGCGTCGGCGGCGGGGCGGCGCCGGTATTACATGTCGGTAGAGCAGCCCTCTGACGAGCTGTGCCTGCTGGCACGATACATAGTTTGTGTGTATGTGCCCGGTATAACTTGCATCAAACAGAAATCGGACGTGGTGTATGCACCCTCTCACGTGTGCCAGCAGCTGCGCCGCCAGCGGCTGAACTTCACTGGCGAGTCGCTGGCGTGCATGCAAAGTAGCGTCGAGAGGAATGCTTACATGGCTCATGAGGAAAATGTGCTGCTCGCCATGCTCGGCGATGAAAATCATGGGATTAGGGCAGATGCAGTCCGCATAATCCAGAGCATTCGTCAAAAAGGGCAGCGACAGGAGCAGCCGCCGTTCCCGCCCCCGCCACAGCAGAAGCAGCGGCGACAGAGGCGGCGGCCATCGCCACCACCACCACCGCCGCCGCCGCCGCCGGCGCCACAACAGCAGCAGCGGCGTCTGAAACGGCGGCGGCCATCACCACCACCACCACCACCACCACCGCCGCCGGCACCGCCGCCACGACCGCCGCCAAAGCTGCCACCCCCACCGCCACAGCAGCAGCCCATTCGGCACTTCCGGCTGCCGGAAATTAACGTTCAAGCGAACAACTATATGGAACTGGTTAACGTGCAGCGAGCGGTTGACGAGGGCCGAGACATCGAGCCCCCTTGTGTACGACACATGAACGAGGATGAGTTGCGCGACTTTCTACAGACTCCCCTTAAAACGGGGGTCCCCTGCCATACCCAATCCACCGAAAGGGCTGTAAAGCTGACCACCGAATCAGTCACAGCTGTAACAGGCGCAGACCGACAGGACGGCTACGCTCTGAACAAACGGGCCTACCGAAACAAAATGAAAAAAGTAGCATTAGCTTCATCCATGTGTCGTACACAAGGTATGTTAGTCACTTTGTTCTCATGTCACCCGACTACATAGTGTGAAAAAACTTCATATCAACAGTGAACGCAGTGTCATGTGTTACTCAGATCAATCCTCCTACGTTCCTCGCTATTGTAAATGGCTCCCGAGCGCACTCCACTATTTCGCCAATTCACGATAGTCATTTATCCAATTCAACATTAGGTCTAAAATATGTCTGAAGTAACATAAAAATGAAGTGAACATTTCTGTCGTGCTTTGATAGACGTAGCATAACGACCACGACGGTCGCAAGTGACCGCCGGGGCTGTGAACGGCACGGCAACGACCGGCCGGCGGGCGGCTACGCCAGCGCCATCTATGGAGAGAGTCGGGTAACTAACGCAAACCTTCCGAGCCTTATGCTTTCCTGCGAGGCCGGTGAAGCAGGCGGCGTGCCGATTTCGACGCCGCTGTATGCTGAATCGACTGGTACATGCATTTAGCGATACATTGTTAATATTTTTTCATTACATTCATCATATTATTCAAAAACATGCAAAAATTGAGAAAACCGGAAATATTCAAAGAGCCGGGGCGGTCAAAAAAAAAATCGAATTTCATAATTTTTCCGCCGGATTCGTGATCAGCACCCTCAAATACGTTAGATTAGACCTGGGGAGCAAAACTTTTCGAAACTTTTTGCAAAACCGGTCACCCTACTATAATATGAGCGTGATAGGAGAAATTCTATCTGCGTTTCATGACAAATGATAATGGGGAGTGATATTAAAAAAACAGCTGAGAAGTTGAGCGAGATGAATCGAGGTCTCACGATAAAGAGCTGGTATTATCAAGGCCAAAATGGGCCGGCGAATTCAATGGATTCATACTGCTAACGGGCCGAGTCCAGGACAATGCCGGCCGCTCGTGAGGGGAATTCAGCGACTGCTGAGGGAGCCCCCGCTCCTGGGGGGAGCGCTGTGCCTTTGGCTGCTGCTCCACCGCCTGCTACCCCTCAGATGAATGGAGCTCGTCAGTGGCTCTGGCGGCCACCTGCAGCAGCCATTGATAGGAGCTATCGACGTCACCGACAGACCGAACGGCGACGGTATGGGGAGTGACTCGGTGACGTCCAGTGACTGATCACCGCCCATAGACGCCGCGGGAGGGGTGATACGAGCACGGTGGATGGTGTTGGGTGAACGCCGTAGACACAAACCAATCGGAGCCTCGGCTAGGTTTGACTGCTACTCGACTACTCGACTAGGCCATCAGTTGAGACTTGAGAGTAAGACACTAGACAGCTGCGGGGTCGCACCGCGCCGACATTGGAACTGGATCTGATCATCTGACGCCGCGACTGTATGGAGCTGTGATGTGAGCCACAGAGGCGGTACAGGGGTGTCCGGTGGCCCGGCTCCCGCGGGGAGGCGGACAGACTGACCGACCGCCGTCCACTCCCGGCAAATGACTGATTGTTATCGCCCCGACACGGTGCCGTGGGGACCGGACCGTACCGTGCCTCAGTCCGCACCGGAGCGGGCTCCCATCTGCGTCCCTCCCTCCCTCTGCCCGTCCCTCCCTCCCTCTGTCCCTCCACCGCACTCTACCGAGCGGCGTCTCGGCACGCAGTCGTAGTTCGCCGGCCGGCCGCTGCCGCTCAGTGGCGCTGCTGTAGCTCGGCAGCGGCTCACGCTGCTCGGCCGCGGAGTGTTCGTCCGTCTGCGTGAGAGGGAGGTCCGTGTGCCGCGCGGGGTGCTGGCCGCGGCCAGTGAGTGCCCCAGGAGTGTCTGAGAGGCTGTGGGTGTGAGATAGGAGTGAGGAGAGGTGTGGAGGAGACTCGTGTGGGCTCAGAGAAGGTGCGGCGGTGTCTGGTCGGACGTAGTGCGGAGAAGACGGCGAGTACGACTCTGCGAGAAGCCAGGTGGTCGCGGAGGTCGTCCCACCGCGCCGTGAAGGACGCGGAGCGCCGGGGTGCGCCGCAGCGACGGGCCGACGCCGAGCGAGGGGAGCGAGTGCGTACAGCGCGCGGGGGACTTTATACGGTGCGCGTAAACAGAGACCCGTGGGACTGTGCAGTGTGCGGGCTCATGGACAGATCGCGATTGGCGTGCTTCGCAGGGCTGAGTCGAGTTCATGCTTTGTGAGATAGGATAGCGTCCCTTTTTCAGTATTGAATTTACTATGTAACCTATAAAATATTTACATTTCCCTGCCGAGGACGTCTACCTATGAATCCCTCCAATTCGAACCATTTACTCGGTGTAATGTAGTCACATGGCAAACCCCTCAGCGTCAACTCCTGGTCACCGCGCGTGGCCTCACCTCGCGGCGCAGAAGCCCGGCCTCTAATGGCGCATTCCTACGCCGTGCTGCACGCCCGTCCTAGCACGACCGGCCACCGGCACGACCTCTCCAATCCGACGCGATCCGATCACGGGTCAGTAAATCAGCGCTCCGTATGGCCAGCGCCGAACGGCAGCTCCAAACGGCGCAGTGGCGCACGTGCCTCTGCAATTGTTGCAGAAAGGAGCTGTCGAATGTGCAGACCGGCGTGCTCAAGCCGTGCTTAGGCCGTGCTGGATGCGTGCTCAGGGCGTGCTCATGGCGTGCCACGCTCCAGTCGGCGCTAAGGCGTGCTTGAGATTTTCTCGAGCTCTGATTGGCGTCTAAGCCGCGTCTGAGCCGAGTTTTAGAGCCGCGCTTGGGATGTATTTACCCGAGTCGTCCTTGGTCGGACTCGTGCTCCTGAAAGAGCGGTGCTCAGGCTGTGCCTCGGCTGTAGTCAGGCCGTGCTCGGAGGACGTGCTCGTGCACAGCTGCGGTCGTTCTCGGCCGTGCTCGTGCCGAGGTCAGTCGGTGCACGGCCGGCTGTGCCCGCCGCTGTTCAGACCTGTTATACAGCCGTGCTACCCGGTGCACCGTGCCGTTTTATGCGGCCCTCCGTCTATCCTGGGAGCTCTGAATAGTAGCTCTGCCCGGCTGCAGTCATAGCTCTGAGCTATGGCTCATTGAGCCAGCTCGGAGCTACGTGCGCCAGATGTGCGTGGTCACGCTCTGATGAACGTGCTGACCTCATTAAATCCTGAATCTCGCCCGACTGATCATGTCAGACCTGATATCTCTGATCATCTACCCCTCACACCATCCAAGTGTTGCTCAGCTGTCCCCATCACCTCAGCGACCCCCTGCCGGTCGACTGCTGGGTCGTTGCGTGCGGCACGGGCGTTTCAGGCGCGGCGCCGGGTCGCTGTCCATCTAGCGCCCCGTTCCTGACCCGCGCCCATCTCTCACCAGCCGCGTAGGTGGACAGCTGGGGCCGCACACGCGTCCCGCTTATAGCGTGTCATGGAGACTAGCCCGCTTGAGATGATCTACGGCTCGAAAGGTCTCTGCGCGGGGTATCCATGAACGCCTACAGCTGCGCTCTGTGATGGCTTTAAAACCTCCATGGGTGCGATATCTAGACAGGTGTGTTGGTTTAGGTAGCACATGCCACATAACGTCTTCCCGATGTCGGATTTTCATCCTTCATATTTTTGTCCATCGAATGTCCCATCAAAGTCCATCAATTCAACAACCCTTTGACGTTTGTTGAATGTCCTTTTCATCGTCTAACAATCCTTTAACGACTATCAAACGTCCTTTTAACGTCGTTCGAACGTCCTTCTGACGTCCTCGGCTACCCGCCGCGCCGTGCGCACCTTCGCTCGGCGGCCCGTGTCGAAACCGCGGCTCCCTGTCGATAGTGCGTCCGACGGATGAGTTATGTGCGGCCTCGCACCGCCGTAATTATGAGCGCTTTCATCGGCGGAGTTCGGCCGTCTCCTAGCCGTAGAGTGGCGCGGGGTGGCGATTATCGTTCGGTATTTGTCGACAGAGACGATCAAGGAGAAACTGGGGGCGGCGCCGCCATGCGCGACTCGCAGCCACGTCAGCGCCCGGTCCGTTCAGCTTACGATGCACGCTGTCTCGATGGACGCACCCCGGACCCCGCCCCTCCGGATTCTCCCATTTCGGTCAGCTCAGTGTGAGGCGTACTCGCCGGCGCCGGGGAGCTCGTGATCGCGTCGACCACCCGCCGCTGAGTGACCCCTCCGGTCAGCGGCGATTGCGGCTGTTGGGCCGGCTGGTCTATTTCGTGGGCGGATGGCCCTGCTGGACACCGGGGTCGCCCTGACTGATTCGGCCTTGGTACCGCCTCCACACTGCCCGCCGCCGGCCGGCCGAGGGCTGTCAGAGAGGGTGGCAGTGACGGCTGTGGGTGGGGCGGTCCGAGCGACCCCGCGGTGCCAGCGGGGACCTGACGTCCGCCTGCTGATCGCCGCGCTGAGCTGACGGAGGTGTGGAGACTGAGGTGTCAGTCACGGGGAGCGTGCGTCGGCATGGAGATGGGCGGATTAGCGCCCTTATTTGGGACCGGGTCCTGGCGAGGATGTGCGTACTAACAAAGGGCTTCTGTGCAGAGCGAGGCAGGGCGTCTCTGCTTCTCGGAGAAAATCACCAGTCAAGATATTTTCCGATGAGAAGACAGGCGCCAGTGTCTCGGCGGAGAAGGAAGCAGGGTGCTGTCGCCCTGTGAAAGAGAACGTTTGAGTGTTGAGTTTCACATCTCGGACTGTGTTTTTCCATCACCGACGTGCGTCTCCGCGATGTCACTCAAGCGGAAGCAGAAGCCGGCCGCTGAGCCTGTGTTGGACGCCTCCAACAAGCGCTTCAGCGGCTACAGCTTCAGCGAGCTGAAGATCCCGGCCATGCCGGTGATGGAGGCTGACTACGAGGCCGAGGTGGAGCAGAAGCTGACGGAGATGTCGCTGGCCGGCCGCGGCGTGGACAGCAGCAACTACATCGGTCGCGGCGAGCTGCTCACCGAGCGCCTCCAGACCGTACCCGAGTTCAGGGTGCCCGCCGTGCCGCCGCTGAAGGAGCTGGACGGACGCTCCCTGGACGGACGCTGGATGTTTGAGGGTCGCTCGGTGGAGAGCCGCGCTCAGGAGGGTCCCGCGCCGGTGCCGTCGGCGGCGGGCGTGCTGCCGCTGCCGCCACCCCCGAGCGTCACCCAGCAGCGGATGTACCGGCGCTCCATCAGCACCGCCCTGCCGCACTACTGCAGCCTCGAGAGGAGGCCTCGCGGTGCCGCGGCAGCTCAGCGACCCAGTGTCTGGATGGTGCGCAGCCAGAGCTTCACCGATGTGTACCAGAAGACCGGCGCGCTGACCGGCCCTGTGGCAGCCGCGGAGCTGGGCAGACCACCACTGAGAGGAGGAGGGGGACGGGCAGATGATCGCGAGAGGAGAAACTCACTGAGGAGGAGCATGAGAGCGCTCAGTGGCAGCTGGAGGAACCTGCTCAAACAAGGTAGGTAGTCCGGAGGTGAACACGGGGAAGCACTTGTTGTTGAGAGCTTATCCGGTTAAATCAGGTTTGTTGCAAACAAGCTTGACTCGGGGTATTTTTCCAATCCGGTTTATTACCGCGTTATCTGATTACGATCTTATTTATCCATTTGTAGAGCTTGCAGGCTTACTTCAAGCCACTCACAAAAAGTGAACTCGACATATGATTGGCACAATCAGCGCAAACTGCCATCTCGATCCTCTGGTTAGCTTCCTCTACAAAGGCTCCGTCAACCGGCGCGCACCAACATAATAGGCCGTCGGTCCGTTCACGTCCCCTGCAGAGCATGATAGTCCGCCGTGCTGCAGCTCTGACAGAAGCAGTGCTGGTCAGCCGGCTCCGACACGGCATGTGACAGCTAATTCTGCGGCTGACAGAAGTCATATCGCCCGTCAAATCACCTGTCACCCCCCTCCCTCCCCCCCCCCCCGACTGCAGTCGGCTGTGATTCTGTCAAATGGAGCTCGTACTGCTGATGTGAAACAACGTACAGAGATTGCGCTTTGTCCTGCCCGACGAGCCGCATAAAATTATCAAAATGCATTAGTGGACATCGAAAAATCGTTTCGCAATCCTGTCACATTGATATTTTACCACTTCCAAGGAGTTATGGTTGCCAGACAGTCACTAATTAGCGTTAATTTTAACGTTCGAACAGGTATAGATCGATAATCTTGGAAGGAGCACCGCGTCTCAACCGTAATGTGTTACCGTCATCCTTGGCAACAGTACTGCTGTAATGTTGACGCTGCATCAGTTCTGGCCTACTCGCTCGGGAGAGCTGGGTCGGGTAGGACAGACAGACGCACGCACTTGGTGAGGGGCAGGGAGGCCTCCCCACCACCCCTGGCTGTCGTTCTGCGTCCAAACATCACCTGGGTAGTCTGCCAGCGCCGCCCGCGCCGGTCGGTCGGTGCCAATGTGGGACGCTTATCTGCCACCGGCTGATACGCGCTGTGTCAACACCAGGGGGGGGGGGGGCTGCGTACGGCGACACGGCTCGCATGCCGTGTGTCGTTCCGTGCCGTGCCGGACCGTTGAGGATGTTCCGTGCTGTGCCGAGCCAAGCCGTGCCTTCAGTGCTTTGCTTCGCTGTTGGACGAACGGTGGTTTGACACGAAGCGGTAGTGATTCGAGGAGAGTCGAGACGGCTGCCAAAGACAGCGGTGACTCCGCACCACCAACCCCGCCGCCCCCGCCCCCGCCGCCGCCCCCGCCCCCGCCCACCGGGGCGGCCCGTGTGGGCGCACCGGTGACGCGGTGATCAAAGACGATCGTTAATGGCCACTGAGTTGTGTGTGATTAATGACATCATGGGGGCGGATGAGCTCATTAGAGATGAGGGCTCGCGAAAGAGACAGCAGAGACAACATTCAGGTGTTTTATGAGTTTTTGAATGACTCGAGAGTAGCTAATATCGAATATATCGATTGGACAGAATTGGTTCAAGAACATCACGACTTGTTCGGATAAGTCGACCGAACTCTGACCGAACAATGAGTGATTAATGCGCTAGCCTCTCGCATTGACCTCTTAGTGGGTCCATTACAAGTTGTACCGATAATATCTTCTAGACACTTGATCTAGAGTTACGACAACCCTAATGGATCAACTTACCGCTATCTTGATCGGATGTAAATACATTTTGGTGCGTCATTCAGCTATCAGCAGTGCATGATACAGTGGAGGGTTCAAGCTACGACGCCCAAGTGTATTTAAACTTCTCCCACAGGCGCATGTAGTGGCTAGTGTGTGACGCGCAGGTAGCACAGACCAAAGACATGGACGTCTTTCAGGAATAGAACAACATCCAGAACGGATTCGGGCAGCCTCGTTAGCGCTATACGCCCTTAGAATCGCCTATGACGGCTGTATTTCTGATGTAATCTGTCACTGGTTCGTGACACGGATGTTGTTAAGTGGCATCTCCAAGAATATAACGGCTTTAAAACAATTGCCAAAACATTTAAAACAATTGTGATGCCACCTGGGAACATTTAGAAAGATCCTTCACAACGTTATTGTAGATGCCCAAAGAGGGCAATGGCTCGTAAATTGTTGACGGGCTCGTCTGCGTCATTTGATGACAACTGCCTTTGTCGGCTTATGCCACTCCTCTGTAAGAATTTAGCAAAGCGGATATAAATGCTCACTCTAATACCGCGACGGGTAACCACATCAAAGTGCGACCCCCGCCTACAGCGCCGGTGGTAACAACACTCTCCGTCAAACTGGTCAGGCCCAGTCAAGGCCGCCATATTGGTCGAGTAATGGCGATGGGTCCGACCACAGTCGACGCCGCCGCTGCACTGGTCGCCAGCTCAGAATAGCAGTTTACAGGTTGGAAAGCCGTAAATCTTCGGATGGACCACCGATCCTCGACAGCCGGTTGACAGTCCTGCGGTCACAGATGACGTCACGGGAACACATGTGACGTCATTTGGTCCTATAGGGCCAACGAAGGATGGCTCGGGAACTTCAACACCGCCAGTGCTATCGCACAGGTGTAAATGAACAAACGATACCAGACATGCCGTTGTTTCTATTCCACTTACCTTGCTGATGCAGGTTACCTCGTTTTATGCGAGGTAGCGCGATCATGAGAGGCGGTACGTTCTTGGAGGAATGAGTCACTTCGTATCATCGGATGCCGATGGAATGCAGTTTGTGGTTTCTGTCTGAGCTGGCGTACCTATCTGGAAAGGCGCATCATCATTCTTGACGTGACGTCGAATCAAATGATTTTTTCCTTACACTCCACCGCTGTGTGCCTTGATCATTGGGATCCCTTTCTCCTCTTTTCATCATCGTGTCTTCCACCTGCTGAGTGCTGATGCTCCCATCCCTCTCATCTCTCCACGTTTTTCCCACTCCTCCCACCTCTTCCCCCGTCTCCACTCCGTTCGGTGTTCCCGGTCCACCCACCCTGTCCTGTCCCGTCCACTCCACCCTGTCCAGTTCTCTCCGCTCCACCCTACCCGTGTAGCTGCCTCACTGCGTGGGCCCGCGGCGACCCGACCTTCCCGGATCTGACGGAGACTGACAGGGAAGGTCACCGTGCTACCTAAGCTGAATTATGCCCAAACGTGGTTAATGTTTTACCAACTGACAGAAGGCTAATTGGATAAAGAGAGTCAGCATGTTTTTACTTCTTTCACTGGTCTATGGAAATATTTGTTCGAGTGGAAATAGGTCATTTCTTTCGGCCTTTGGTCTGTCTTGAAGGTGAACCCTTGCGTTCGATTCCTTTGATTGTATTCGGGTTCGATGGGACTCACTCCCAGCTGTGTAAGGTTGTCGTGTCGGCGTCCCTGCCAAGGTTGTGTGTGATTCCCGTGCGACCACTGCGCACTACCCGTTCGGGATTGTCCGATAAAGGTCTGTCATGAATCAAGTGTTGATGCTTGAGGGGCCGGACATGGCGGACAACTCAGTATTACAGCACGATAGGAGTGGAGCGCAGGTCGAGCATATTGCTTTTTGATGGTGATGGTAAACTTTCACCCGCATCAGCTCTCTGTCTACATCTGAGTCGAGTTTTCACGTTTACAACTTAAGGTTCCCAGTGTGTGGACGGGGCACGGTCGGAGCCGTGTGGCGCTAGTGCCTACCTCGGCGAGTCATGACTTTCACAAACAATGCCCGGCCTCCGCGGTACTGTTGTTATGCGCTGGAGCGGAGAGTGTTTGTCGAGTTGCGTGCGTTGGATACGCACGCACCGTCCCACCAATCAGAGCGGCGCATTTCATTGCGTCACTGAATAACTCATTGGAAAGTGCCTTGAAGCCACGCTCGATGCTTCGCTAGTAATGCAGGGACAATGTCGATGCATGCCGGGTGCGTTGTGCCGCGAATACGATCGGCATAAATAAGACGTAAACGCGTGCTTTTTAATGTAAATATTCCGCGCTACATTATGCATGCGACCGCAGAATGCATTATGGCTGCCCCATCTGAACAATTTGTCCGGAAATACGTTGCGTTTGATCATGTGACAAATGATGCTAAAATGATTCGGTGATATCTGTTTGGGATATGCAATGCATTACAGCCTTATGTTTCTGCAGCACATGGCCTTCAGCAGAAAAGTCTTGCTGGAGGACTTGAATAAAGATTTCCACTACATCTATTAGTGAAACTGAACTAAAAATCATCGCCAGGGCTCAGGGTGACCCTCGCCTGCCACAGATATCCACTGCTCTGAGGCCACCCTCGTGCGGTGTTTAATCGACTTTAGGCCACGCCCGTCCGGTGTTCCTGCCGCTGCTGAGGTCACAGGCTGGGTCACGTCACGGCGGCAGACGTCCTGAAACGGAGCTAAAGTCAGCCGCTGAAGGTCGACAGGGAACCTCCGGAATACACCGCACAACGGCGGTTCTTTTCCTGGTCCGTAGTCCCAAACCGTTGTTCAATTATCACGCGATTAATAATTAACTTACTCAAGTAGGTCCGCTACCAAAGCTCACGGATCTGAATGCTTTGACGCATTTGTGTGTTCGCTGTTCAGGGTTGTTGCTCACGCATTGTAGCAGAACACGCGTCAGCGTTTTTATTTCTGTTTGAAAGTCGTGACTTCTGCTGTTCAGTGTTCGGTGTCTGACCTTGCGGGACGGCTGGGGACGTGCCGTAACGCTACAGTTGCGTGGCTGGGGACGGGCGCCAGCTGACGATTTTCTGAGCAACAACAGGTGTGCTCTGGCTCCATTCCATGCTCCGCTGTTGTGTTCGAGCACTCTTTCTTTGAAGCATCCGTCCGCTCGAAAACGTTAATCTATGATCTGGTCCGATCATGGGCGTCATGGGGGCACGGAGCCGTGCTCGTTTTCCTGTTTTGGGGGTAAAAAAGCCGAGTTCCCACCCCGAGTAGCTGTGATTGAGAGGCGCGTGCCGGCGGCGGCTCAGACGGCATGTCAGAGCGTGGTCTGAACCGCTCTTTTGGTATTGTTTCACTGGTATTGTGT